ACCTCAAAAAGTTTTACATTGTCGTTTAAATTCAGCATGAAGCATATAATTATTATTGTTCGGTTCAATTAGGCGTGCAATTTCCTTAAATAGTTCATGCATATGCGAGGTAAATGCGGTATGTTTTATGTGAAATCATGTGTCCAAAATTCAAAACTCAACAAGATAAATGATATAGGAAAATGTGATGCAAGAGATTTGATATGCAGGATGAATGAATTGTGGATCCACACACAAATTTAAACAGAGAAAAATTTTGGAAGACAACCAACTATAAAACACACATAAGCACACCAACTCACAAGCACAGATAGATAGGAACAAAGATGAATCCGTCACAAAATGAGAAGACATAAAATTCTTGTACTTAAGGGAACTGGTGTAGGAGGAGCAATGAAGACATCCTTAGCTAAAAGGGCAACTCCATAGGGAGTCTCAGTTAGGATCACAGATAGTCTCCTAGCGACGGTAGGGTAATCTAACAAGTCATCCAACTAGGAGAGAGATGGTCCTTAACAGAGAAGGACAAGGATATCGAGGGCATAATGCAGGAATCAAGAATATGATGAGATGATGGGTCATGACTCACTACCATAGTAGGATAGCCCAAAGAGTGACTAGTGGGTATGGGACTAAAGAAATGGGGTAGGGTATCCCTAACAGAATTGGGCACAACAGTTAGAAATGTGACATGAAAGTATGAGCTAAGACACTCTCTAACACTAAGGTCGGTGAGATAAGTCCAATCAATAGAGTTATACTCTGTCAAATGTAAATCTAAAGGAGCAACTCCTAAAATAGACTCCAATAAGACAAGAGGATGTTTATTGTTCAACTTAGGCTCAGAATCTATCAAATTCAAATTACTATCTTCCAAACTCATATTACTATCCTCAAAAGGATCAGGTTTGGTTATAACCCTAAGATCAATGGATTTGGGGTCACTTAAATCAGGGTTTAATTCAGGTAGTAATTTCAATTGTCTCACTTCCAATTTGAAATTATCCACATTGCCATCAGAATTATTCAAAATTAAATCAGAATTATTCGAAGTCGTCTCAGTAATTAAATCAAAATCTTCCGATTTTAATTTCAGTGTGTTCAAGGTCAGATCAGTTTCTTTCGGGATCAAATTAATATCGTCCAGGCAGACCTTATCCAAAGGGATATCATTAATGAGATTAGACTCCAGATGGGCTAAGGTATCAAGGTTAAAAGGTTCTAGACCTCCTAAATCAGGGTTAAAGTCAGGCAGGGAGTCTAATTCAATCACTTCAGTTTCATCCTCAAAGAATTCTTTTTATCAGTGATATCATTAGCATCCATGAAATGGATGCACTCAGCCTCAGGTTCAGGGGACCTTTTCTTTTTAACGCATTTCTCTATTAAAATTACACTTGCAGGGTCAAGGACTTGAAAGGCTAAAGGTTGACTGGGATGGCTAGAAGTCAGTCCAAGTGGCGAGTCATGTGGGACCAATCCAATAGAGGGTCGGCCATCATGGTTAGGTGAAGACCTACAGGGTGGGGTAGCAACCCTGATATTACTAATGGGTGGGTGGTCTCAACCACAGTAATGTCCAGGAGTTGTCCCAACAACAGAGGTAGGGTGGTGCTCTAGATGACGGTCACTAGTAGAGGGTCGGTATTTTAAATTAAGTTCTCGCCTCATGTCTTTCCACGTAGGGTACTCACCACGAGATTCTTTATGATTTTTCAATCTCATCCAAAATTGAAGAGCCTGACCTTTTAGGTGAGACTTAGCGATGCTAACCTGGTGGGACTCATGGATATGACATGATTCAAAATAGTCCTCTAGTTGTCTAGCTCATTGCCTCATTCCCTAAAGTAGTAAGGATCCAAAGAACCATCAAAGGTAGGCAGTCGGTAAGGTAACTCTAAGTGAGGTCGTGGAGGCCTAGGCTCAGGTCTAGGGTGATAAGCTAAGTGGGGCACGTACTTAGAGTTGGGATAGTCAATAGGTTTCTCCGTCATAATTCTAGTCATAGTACCCACTAGGTTAACGATGTCATCTAACCTCTTTTGGAGTCTTATCGGGTCCATTGGGAAGTGTCAAGTGACACTCAAAGATGATTGGTGTAAGGGACGCCATTGAGACACTAAGTTAGGCTCACTTAAACTCACTAAAGGGTGCAAAAATTGTTTGGACAGCAAGCTACACTAGTGGGTTAAGTAGCCTAGGCACTTAGGGAGGTTGTTAGGTTGAGGACAGCACCTAAACACAAAATTAAGTTCACTAAAAGGTGCCTAAATGTTGCTGGAACAGTGAGCACAGCAGTTTAGATCAAGGATGTAGTTGTCCTACGCACTTATAAACGATATGGATTCAATGGCAGCACTAAGACACTAGCTACAATGATTTAAACTCCACTAAATGCGTGCAGGAAATGTAAAGACAGCAGTGAAAAACAGTGAATAAACTTAGATATGCGATGATATGCATGTAAAAATTAAACTATAACGCAAGATTAGACCCTAGGATGTTTTTCTAACATGTCATGCATGCCAACCTAGCTCTGATACCAAGATGATGTGAAACGTACATGCGAAGATGACTTTCATAATGAATTTGCACGCTTAATTTTTAAAGCACAATAATTATATCTTTGCATTGATTTTAAACGTCAAAATAAAACATGAAAGCTTAGGCTAAATCACATGCGTGGAAGTTAAGACTGCAAACTAGTCAATTAATCTAACGTTGCATACATGGATGGTTTCAACAATAAATCCCTATGCTAACAATAAGATTAGTCACTACAAGAGATCCCTCACTCAACTCTTCTAATTACTAGGCATTAGCAGGGAAGCATTAATGTGATCGTCATGAATATATTAAGACCACATTTGAGGAGCAACCTCGAAGATAAAAGAGTCGGGGGAAGAGTTTACCCAAAGACAAGAGAGATGCGAGCTCCGGGTACGTCGTTGGACGGTTGAAATGAAAGGGGACAGCAGTTTGGATGGAAAGACAGCATCAGAGAGGTTCAGGATTCTATGGATAGCAATCTTGGCACTTTGGAAAACTCTGGACAGCAAACCCGCAGTTTCCAGAAAATCTGGACATCAAATAGAGGCCTTCCGGATGGCTACACAGCATTAAGAACCTGCTGGAACCTTTGGAACAGCAGCTGTGGGGCTTCAGGACAGCAAACCGGAAGTTCTAGGAGAGCAGGACAGCAGCTTGTCTTGCCGAAAATTTTCTGGGCAGAAGCTACGAACTTTCAGGACAGCAAGCAGGAGATTTTTGGCGAGCAGGACAGCTGTTTGGCCTGCGGAAACCTCCTGGACCCCTCCCCCCGTCTAGATTGTGGGGAGGAGAATAGGTTAGAAGAAGTGTGGATGAGGATTAATAAAAAATCTAAAATTACTTTCAGTTTTGAGTGAATTTGGAGGGAGACTCAATTTGAAATTGGATTTAAATTTCAAATGAGGTTATGAGGAGTTAATGGGCAATCAATGGGGGCCCACTAATAGTGGTCGGCGGTGGACTTAGAGAGAGAGAGAGAGGGAGGTTATGAAATTTGAAATCCAAATCAAGTGCAATTAATACATTCAATTAGCATCAATTTGCTTCCACCCTAGCATGGCCGGCGGCATCAAGGAGAGGGAGAGGATCGTGGAGAGAGTTTAGGGAATTTCCAAAGGAAGAAGAAGGAATTAGAAAGGCTCTTAATAAATCCAATCTATTTTGAAATTACATTGGGATCATGCATCATACCTTCCTAATTAGGAAATCCAAAAATGGAAAGAATTTGAATTTCAAATTTGAATTACAAAGGCTTGGTAAAGAGAGTAGGAGCAAAAAAGTAATAAATAAAAAATATCATTTTCATTATCAACATAAGCCTTATACCCACCATTAAGGGGTAGACAAAAATACCATTTTGAAATACAATTTATTATTTAGATGTACAGTATGGCAACAAATTCAACTATGGTTTGAGGATTAAAGTGCTGGCCAGCCAATAAATAAACAACTAACAGTCAAGTCTGGTGTGGCAGAAATAAACATATTAATGTAAAGTCCTGTAAAAGTTGGAAGAGTATATTGTGAAAGGCTATATTAGAGATTATGTACAGATTAAGATATTGTTGTAAAAAAATAGACTTGAAGGACTTGCAGATATATGATTCAAAAAAAAGATCCCCTTATAAGACAAAAAGATTGAATTAGATGCAGAAGGAATGGGAAGATAAATAGGCTAAGTAAAATTGATATAACTAGTGTTTGTTTAAAAAAATGCAAAAATCGGAATCAATGTTGCATGTAGCAAAAAAAAAAAAGAGATGACAGAAAATTTTAAAATTGATGCCACATAACTGAAATATTAACATGCACACAAAATTTACAATCATCATCTAAATTAGAAATTAACGATAATTCAAAATCATTATGTAGTAATTTGTTACTAGAGTCAGCCAAATCAGTGGTTAATGCTGTTAACCATTTACTACAAATGACAGCATTCTATAGAGAGCATTTGTTTAGTAAACATGGACAACCATCACTCTTCTCACAATTCCGTTGCTCAGCTGGCTAAGAAGGGTCATATAAAATTTCAAGTGGCAAGAATGTTTCAACCAGAAGGCTGCGTAGAAGGATATAAATTGTAATTTTTAAATAAAAAGAGAAAATAATTCAATAAAAGCAGAAAAAATGGAGCTATGTTATTAAAATCATTGTGGGTGGACATCTATCATGAACTTAAATTTTGCATTACTATTTAAAACCAGTTTGATGGCTGTTTAGGTATTTTTGACTAATCTGATCCATCAGATGAAAATTGTAGCAAAAACTTAATCTGTGTACTAGTAAAAAAACATAGAAGACTTGACATCATAAAGCGCATCAATAGCAACCTGAACACCAACATATTACATAACATGATCCAATTGGTGTTCAAACACAAAAGCTTATAGCAACTTTATTCGTATCAGTAAAAAATAAAATTCAACAAGAATCACGCATTTACTTACCTCCTCTTCTCCCCGTCTGTTGGAATATTTATAGTAAATTTACATAAGGAGGCTAGAAAAGAGTTCAGTGGTTTGATTACATGTAGGACTCCACATGCCTGAAAAAAAGTGCCATGGATTATCACTCTAAGCCAAAAATAGTAGATATTCTTAAAAAGGAAAATGTCTTGATATGAAAAATGGGTTAAAAGAGACTATTATTAAGTTTGGATTAGAGAATGCAAAAGACCAAATGTCAGAAGCTCATTTGATGTCAGCACAATGCTTTTCTAAACCTTCTTCAAATAAAATAAAATTTGCTAAAATTAATATAATCGGGAATCCACAACACAAACAGATTCAATTAACATTATATGTCTAGATACCTGAGTGAATGCTTGATAACCTTTCAGTATTTCTATAATAACGGCTTCTCCTTGTGACCTATGAAGAAAATGCATGCTCTAAAAAATGAAAGAACTACGACAAGAAATGAGATTTTCAGTAATGCATTCACCCCAACCTTGTTAATATCAGAGATAAGGCATCGAGAATGGTCAACCATGTTGAATTAACCAAGGATATGCATAGAACAGATGTTTCACCAGTGCACTTTGAAGGCGTGTCTCTATCGTTTTTGGGTGATTCAAGCTGCACCAGAGAAAATTTTTGGAAAAATTCACCTTTTATCAGCTCAGCCGCCATAAATACGACATAGTGGTTTTTTTACCTCACCAACATCAACAGCTTCATCTGTCAAAGTAGCAACTGCAAATACAACGCCTAAAAGTCCTTCAACAGCTAAAGTAATAGCATGGGCTTCACTTGCAACCACAACAGCAGCATTAGATGAATCATTGTCCATGCTCCATTCAACTCCTACAAATACCTTTAATTAGTAGTGTACAAAGTTAATGCATCAAATTGAATTTGGCAGTTCGCCGTCTTAATAGCTATGACGATCAGTAACTAATTTATACGACTCCAAGCCTGCTCTTTCCTAGCTTAGGAACTTAATATTCATGTTTAACACAAAAAAGAAAATGTGATAGAATTATCTCGAACAAGTGCGCAGAAGTATGAGCAGTGGAGCAACCACATTCTTAACACTAATCTCAAATATTTAATGCCAATCTCTAATTGGTCAAGTGCAGGAATAGTTCACAATTGAGAAAAGAGAAAATTTCCTAAAAAGTCCTTCATATCAAAATGCCAGCTAGCATAACAGTCGTTTAGCAACACCTAAATAAAATAATACTTGATACATTCACACAAAAAGTATGAAACACAAGAGCAAAATAATTGTGGCATTAACTGATGGAACCCTCTCCTATAATAAATGGAATAACAAACTCATTTGCCGCCATTAAATTTGAAACACTAAATAGATTTCTGATGTCAAGAAACTGTCAAAGGGAAGTCCTGCTTAAAATCCATCCCAAATAGAAATAAGTTCATTGTGATGACTTGGTTGAAACAACTTTCCTCAAAGATGCTAACACTACGAGATTGACAAGTGTAATGTTTAAGAATTTGTAAATCAGAACGACTCCATATTGCAGACACGTTGAAGAACTTGAACAAGCCTAAGGGCCATGTTTTGCATTATTTAGTGTTCTACACTGTAATGTATATCAAAGATTGTGGACAACAAACAACGTTAGCAAAATGCTTAGTTCGGTAATTTTTTTCAATAAACATACTATCACATGTTTTTTTCCAGTTCCTAAACATTTCATCACGTAATAAACCTCAATAAACTTCAGAACTAGAAACAGGTTTCAACCACGCAATAAGTATTGAAGTCATCGAAGCCAATATCAAATAGTACCAATTTATGATAAAAGAAGAGTTTCTCCACACATACAAGAAATGTTGAAGCATGGCGTCACCCAATCCAAGCCTTGAAGGTCATTGGTGCAAATACAGAAACTCACTTTTGCATACGAGCAAGACTACAGATATCAACCCATTCCTCCGCCTCATAAATGATAAAACCTTCATGCTATAGATATGACCATTTGATCTGAATCACATCCGGCTAGCTAAAGAAAAATGGGACTTAGGCACGGATCCCATTTTCTAGGCTTAAAATTCCATTTTTTTAAGGTAGATTGATTTTTAATTAACCAGATTTCCTCCAAGGACTGTATCGAAGTTTCTTTAGATCGGGGTCCTTACTTTCTATGAGCATAAGCCCTCATAATTAATTACCCCTCATACTTCGTAGGAGAGAACTCTCGATTAAGAATGAATCACTTCAGTGCAGCTTAGGGAGCTTAAGAGTTTTAGTCTCGTTTGTGAGGGATGGAGGTAGACCCGAGCAAGATCCCATGTTTCAGTCGTCCCGAGTATACCATAGGTTTCAATTAACCAATACTAACAACCGTTGACCGTAGTGTCCACGAAATCTAATTAGTAGTCAAGGGTTGTCTCCTCTCAGAGAACCCGAGTAAACTTAAGTGGTTAAATGTATGTTTTAATTTTATTGGGTTTTAGGGTATAAATCTATTATAATACCTAGAAGTTAGTTTGGTTTGGGATTTATAAGTTCGTTTAGAAGTACCCAGAAGTTTGAATTTAAGAGGGTCTTATGGCTTCTCTAATAAATAGTCTGGGTATTTGAATTTTGATCGGGACTTACAGCATTTATTGAAAGTAGCCTGTAAAGTAGTTATTACAGCTTCTATTAGAAGTCGCCCACTTGTGAGTCTTACAACCTAGGCCTTATAAGCTAGGATGTCATTAGTTTTATTTTTTTGGGTTTATGGGTCTTGCTATTTATATGAAAGTTCTCACATGTGAGTTTTACGACTTCACTTAGAAGTTGTCAGTTAGCAGGTATAACAACCTAGCCCTGTAAGCTAAACGCCCAATTATTTTGGTTAAGGGTTTGATATTTCATTTAAAAAACTTTCAAATAATACTTCTCACGACTCTCATTAGAAGTTGCCTGATTATTTGGATAGGACGGGTCTTACTGCTTCCCTTTGGAAGTAACTCAATAGTGGGTCATCAACCAAGCTTTATAAGTTAGGCTGCCCATTTTGTTTAGATTTAATTTGAAAGTTTAATATTTCTCCTAAGAGTTTCTCTCAAATAACCGGTCTTATAACTTCTTTTAGAAGAATCCTAAATGTGAGTCTTACAACCTAGCCCTTTAGACTGAGTTGTCTGTTGGTTTGAATTTGATTGAAAGGTCTTATGACTTCCTTAGAAGTTGTCTGTAAATTTATAGGGCTTATTGCCTCCCATTGGAAGTACATTGTAGTTTGTGTTTATGGTAGATTAGACTTTACCCGTAGGTATTTTAGTTTGTAATTGTTTGCTAGCTTGACACAAGATTTGGGTTTTCAATCATTTACCAGTAGATGGTTTATTAGTTTAACATTTACTAGCAAGCAGTTATTGTTTGACACTAGTGTGTCTACTACATTACCTTGTTTAACACTAGTGTTTATACTACAGTACCTTGCTCTTTTTCTTTCAGTATTGTAGATTGTACCAATAATTAATTTATTTTACCAGTAGCTTGTTCTACTTTCTTTAGTTTGCTTAAATTTCTTTTAGTATCATAGTTTAGTGTAGCACTTATTCTTTTCAATCATTAGCAATTTAATCTCAATGCAAATGAGTTTTATTTGTTTGTTTGTAAGAGCTCGAGTTGTTCTGGAGCTCGCATAGGAGCATTTGAGAGTTTAAATAGCGTGTTGAGCGTGCAAGCTCTTGCAAGTTAAGCGTGTTGAGCGTGCAAGCTCTTGCAAGTTAGCGAGTTGTTCTGGAGCTCGCATAGGAGCATTTAAGTTAAGCGTGCAAGCTCTTGCTTCAAACCAATTTTTGCATGATCGTTTTACATCATTTTTGGTATCAGAGGATGGCTAGCATGCTTTACTTGTGCTAGATGCATCCTAGGAGTCGACTTTAGCTTGCCTTAGTCGTTTACATGCATAACATCCCCTAGGTAGTTTTATTTTATGTTTACATTTTGCTGTCCAGAAAATTCTGCAGCAATTTCTGCATGTTACATGAGCATATTTCAGAATTTAGTTGCTGCCATCTTTACAATAACATCTCTAATAGTCTAGGCCACTTAGACATTTGCTGCCCACTAATTTTCTGCACTTAGTATGGCCTTTAGATAAATTTTAAGTTGAATTGCTCTCCAATTTTGTAGTGCTTTTAGATCGACTTCGACAACTTCCCGACGTCCCCTCCTCTCACTGGAAATACGGGATGGTATATGCCATCATTTCTTTCTGCCCGTATCAGAGATTAACGGCGCAAAATCTTCGAATTTTAAATCATTATACACGGATCAGAGATCAACGTCGTAGAGACTTCAAATTTCAAATTCATGTCACCAAGATCAAAGATTCAACTACATGAGACCTTCGAGTTTAGAACCATCCTATCATAAAAATCAATGGTGTACGGTAGATTTAGAAATTATTTAACCTGGATTAGAGATCAACGGCATAGAGTCTTCAATTTTAAAATTCAACTCGCCAGGATCAAAGATTCAATTGTGCGAGGTCTTCGATTAGAAATTTATCCTGCCTAGATCGAAGATTAATGTCACAAGTCTTGAAATTTTGGTGAATACATATTGCTTGTTGCCATATAATTGTATATTTAATTTTTATTTAATTCCTGATTAATTGAATAAAGAGTCGATGTAATGATCAACTAAAAATTTGCTCTTGAAAACTTCCATAGCTTACCGAAATCGGTTATGGATTTGCAAACTGTATATTGAAATTATATGCATGCAAGTGAAAATAGACCTACTCAAGTTTACTCGGACATTAATATGTCGGACTACGGCAAAAGTGCATAAAAGCATGCATAGCGTCATCTGCCAAGTGGAGCGAGGCGTCGAAGGTCGCAAGCAGGCGACCGTGCGAGGGATAGGTGTGGGGTGCAGGCAGTTGGTCAAGGTTTGTCGAATCAGAAAGAGGCGCGAGCTCGGGTCAACTTTGCGGACAGTGGCCGGTTGGTAGACAGGAGATCGACTCACAGTCGGAGGCGGAGCAAGTGTTCACACGGGTTGGAAATGGACACCAGGGTGGAATCTAGATCGGGCGGGTGGTCACAGTCGGAAGTCAGACCGTGGACTGGAAGGCGCTTGCAAGGTCGAGTTGAGTGCGGGATTGCAGTTGCAGGTGGGTTTATGGTTGAAAGGAGGCTGAGGCTACGGGGCAAGAGACGAACTAAGGCTAGTAAGTGAGAACAAGAGAGCTAATTCCAAACAGAGAACGTGAGTGTGTGGTGTAATCAAAAATTTGGGAGAGGGACCCAAATTTTTTATCACAAAATAATACTTTTCTAAGTAAAAGAAAAGACACAAAAGGACACAAAATAGACGAATAAACTAAAAATAACAACTTTTCTTCATAATATAAAAGACTTACAAACTTAGACACTTACAAATGACTCAAACAAGAAAAACACCTAAAGTTGCATTTCTTTGAGAAGAAGGATACAGGTGAGGTGGATACTTGCGACGAGAAGAAAGAGGTTAGAAGCCAAGACGAAGTGGAGACAAGCTCGCAAGGTTTCTCAAAGAGGGAAGGAAAGAGTGAAGTTGGACAAAGCTCGCAAGCTTTTCCAAACAACAAGCCCGTAGGTTTTATCTCCAAAAATCACATCATATATCATTCCTAAAACAACCCAAAACATCTACTATTTATAGACATGAGAGGAGAATACAAACAGCCCCAAAAACCCTTCATATTCTTAATTAAAAAAGGAAAATGAAAAGCCAACAGTCAACTCCAGGAAACAAAACACCAAAGCCACGGAAAAGCCCCCAAAAAGTCACGGGAAAGCAGCCCAGGCGAAACATAAAGAGGCAGCCGTGGGAACCAAGGAGCCAAGGTACAGAAAACAGCCAAAACCGGAAACCCAAAAGCCACCCATGGAAACTCATGGGATAAAGGCAGAATTTTAAAAGAAAAGAGGAGAAGAGGCAAAATTAATGAGCTACTAATAAATGATCTAAAAACATAGCTCATAATGAGCTAACTCTTAGTTCAATAAATGAACTAAAAACCAGCTCATAATGAGCTAAATCTTAGCTCAAAAATTAATAAGCTAGCAAGCTCAAGGGAAGTCAAAACCAATTTTTTTGGGTTTGATTTGACCCCCCAACCCCCTTTGCCTACATCAGTGTGTAAGTCTTCGATTCAATTTTTAGTTTGTTGTTCGCTCCTTGGACGACATTCGTTGTTGTTCGACTTTGCTAGTTTGTTGTTCGCTCCTTGGACGACATTCTCTTCCTCTTAGATCGGAAGTTACAACATTTTGATCAGAAGCACCGAAGAAAGTAAGCAACGACGAGAGATCGCTGCTGCCTCGCCGGCTCCTTCGTTGGTGATGAGGACATCGGAGATCAATGGCTACGATTTTTTTTTAGTTATTTATTTATATGTTTTTGTACTAGTTTATTTTATATTGTTGTTTTTCCCTTTATACCCTTATGGATGGTCATGTAGTGTTGTATCCCTAAGGGCATTTTAGCCTTTGTTATTTTTCTTTTCATGAGGCCTATTTATAAGCTAGCTTTCTTGTATTGAGGATGATGATTATTGACAAATGAAAATTTCTACTTTGATCTCTTTGTGAGTTCTACATTTCCATGCTTCTCTCCTTATGTAGTGCGACCACTCCTCGATGCTCTTAGTGAGTTTGTTGGAGGAAGCTAGATCTTCTTGTCGAGTTCTAGGTTTTTCTTGTTCTTTCCTCATTATTCTTTATTTCTGTCGGATCTCGTGCGTCAAATCACCGAAGGATTTGGGGTGGATGCAATTTGTGGAAGATTGGAATTCAGCTTGAATCCCTTAGATTTTCCGTACCTCATCCCCTCCCTTGCTCATTTTGGCCGCCGCCCCCTTCCTAGGATTGCCCAGGCCGCCGGCTGCAGTACCCAACAGCCCACCGACGCAACAGCCGCCGGCCAGCCCAACCAGCCCCGTACCGACTTCCCTTGTCGCCGGCCTTCCCCTCTTTGAAACAAAAAAAAAAACCAACCCTCCTCCCCCCCCACCCGCCGATTCAAATTTTAGCTTCATGAAGCCCCTATTTTACTACCTTTCTAATTGATTCCTGATTGAGGTCTTTCCAAAATTAATTAGATTTCAATCTTGAATTTAGAACAATATTCAAGATTAATCTTAAAATTAATAAACCCTCTAACTATGAAACATTCATTGATTTAAAACCTGAAAATATTTAGTTTTTAATAACTCTTTGTTGACTATGTGGTGCCCCATTTTACTTAACACCAAGTCCCTCTCCTTCTCCATGTGGTTCTCGGCCACCTCACCCCCATTGCTTCTCTCTCTAATTGCCACCTCATCACCTCTTAATTACCTCCCAAATACCTCTCCTCTTAAACGTAACTTCAGTTTTATTTCAGATTTCAAATCTGAGATTTGAAATCAAGTACTCCCTCTCACCTCCATCTCCCCAAGACCGTCCACCTCCTTTCCCTTTTGGGTATTGATTACATTTAACGGCACCCCCTTGGCAGCCATAACCGTTTCTTCCCAAGGCCCCGCACGCCAGAATTTCCCTCTTTGGGAAAATCTCTAACTGCTGTTTATTAATTACAGCAAGTCTTCCCCTGCAATCCTGGATTCCCGAGAGACTTATATTGCTATCCAAGACCCCTCTGACTTGGGGAACTGCTGTCACATTTTTGGATATTATCTAGCTGCGATTTGAAGCATTTAACGTGCCAAACTGCTGTCCCGATTTTCATTTGCTGCTGGTCACACATCTCTAGTTGCTGTCCAGAAGTTTGAGGCTTCTTTTCCTGAGATCCCAGCTCCATTACCTTGCAAAACTGTTGTTCCAAGAAGACCAGGTTGCTGTCCACCACGTTCCCAACTTTCAAATAACCTTGCCGGAGTGCGTATCCCTCTTGTCTTTGGGTAACTTCGACACCCGACTCTCTATTTTCATAGTTGCATCCTTGAATGTGAATTTATTATCCTCATGAAGATTATATCAATTCTTCTCCGCTAAAGCCTAGTAATAGGAGGAGTTGTATGAGGGACCTCTCATAGACTAATCTTATTGTTAGTATTGGAATCTATTGTTGGAACTATCCATATATGCAATGTTGGATTAAGCAGGCTATCTTTTGAACTTAACTTCTATTCATGTGAATTAACCTAAGCTTGTTTTATCACCTTACTGTTTATTTTGTCCTTTAAATCACTATAATGAGTATAATTATTGTTGCTCCTAAAGTTAAGCGTGCAAGATCTTACTTCAAACCAATTTTTGCATGATCGTTTTACATCAGTTGGTGTTCTATTTTGCTCCTTGGATGACGTTCTCTTCCCGTTGGATCGGAAGTTACAAAATTTTGATTGGAAGCACCAAAGCAAGAAAGCAATGACGGGAGTTCGACGCTGCCTAGCCGGCTCCTTTGTTGTTGTTCGACTTCGCTCCATGGATGACATTCTCTTCCCATCGGAGCAAAAGTTACAACATTTTGATCGGAATCAAGGACGGGAGTTCGCTTGCTGTGAAGTAGTCTCCGCCTCGTTGGGTCCTTTGTTGTTGTTCGACTTAGCTCCTTGGACAAGGTTCCATTCCGGTCGGACCGAAAGTTACAACATTTTGATCAGAAGCAACGACGGGAGTTTGTTCTGTGAGTCGTTGTGAAGGTCCTTGTTGTTCTACTTCGCTCCTAGGATGATGTACCCTTCAGGTCGGATCGTTAATTACATTGATCAGAAGCAACAACAGGAGTTTGCTCGCTATGAAGAACTTTCTCTGTTCCGTGCGCTTCTTCGGCCAAATCCCGTATATACGCCGAACCGGGTCATTCTCGGGTTTCCGAGTCAACCCAAACCCGAACCTGAAACTTTCGTGTTGGGTTCGAGTCAGGTTTTCGGGTCGTGTACAATATTGACACCCCTAAGTCCATAGGACTCCCAGAACATCTTAATTTAATATAGCCAATTAGCCATCACATGTAACTGCGGCATTCTCACTCTCAACAAATATATATTACTATGCCAAAATGACATCCTAACAGCTACAGACTTCTATAATAGCCTAAGATCAACATAATCTGACTCAACTTTTCACCTAAGCCAATATATATAGCCCTTAATTAGAAAACTTGAGCAACTAATAGAAATCTAATGACTTCAAGATTATATGAAAATCCACAATTATTTTGGTATGTCAAAAATTTTGATTTTCTCTTACACAAAGACAAAGTAGTTCAGTATTCAACTACCATGCAACCTGATCAGCTAAAATGGAACATCTTTATGAGGTCTATACTCTATAGCTATACATTATTTCTCTGCAAAATTGAGGAAAACTGTTTTATTGTCTTCCCTGAACATTCTCTTTTTTTTTTGTTATACTCAAGGTAAAGTACGTATGTCAAAAACCTAATGTAGTAAACTTGTTAATACATAGAGGTATGAAAATGGAGTTACAAAACATACCTTTAGCTTTACTGTTAAACATCCCCGCAACAGCAGCAAGGCTCTCTTCACTTGATTCTGGAACCTAGAGTAAAGAAAATAGATCACGATGAAAAAACTTAATATTACATGTATTCAACCGACAAGGCCTGATTTCAAATAACTTGAGCCTAAGCTAAAAGGTTCTAGAAATTAACAAACGTAAGGACCTGGACTATATGGGGAAGAGAAATATTTGGTGTAGGGTAGGGGAAGGCTCTTTTGGATTGCACCAATAAGAAGAGGGCCGATTAGCCTAATGTGTGCAGATTCCTTCGAATCAGTCAAAATAAGAAAAAACCTCACAGTTTTTCAGAGTTTTCTCGAAAAAACTTTAGCTGTGGAGCTTGTGAGCGACTCATTTACTCATCATGAGAGTAAATGATTACAAAGGTATCATAGAACGTAAGTGACACAGGACAATATGATAAGGAAATTTGAATTATGACAAGGGTAGGATTTATAGGAACCACAGCCAAGCAGAAAATAGATCTATTAGACACATGCCAATAAGATTCTTGGAAACACTCCAAGGAAGACAAAAACCTCATGCTTTCTTGAAATTTTGCCTCCAACTTTAGTATTTCTCATTCATTCATGAACTCATCATGAAAATAAATTGATGGCGTTGTAGGTTCTCAAGATGTTCAGAACCAGCCTTCCGAAGATTGCATTGTAGGTTGCCAGTGCGTCAACTATGATGAAGTCGGCCATAGGTCCTCAAGAAGTTTAGAAGCAGCATTCCGAAGATGGCATTGTAGGTCGCCAGTGCGCCAACTATTATGAAGTCGGACATAGTACTGTGTTGGCGGTCGCCCTCTCCCCAGGTGATGGGTAGGACGAGTACTCCTTCAGTCTCCTTGCACTTATCAAAGAAGCCATAAAGAGGTACAACAGTAGAGGTGAGTTGGAAAGCAAGCAGACTCATTTTCTCAAAACATATTTGAAAATTATGATTACACAACTCCATGTATTTTTCATTATTGCCGATCTAATAGTTGACACCAAGGTAGTGACAAATATGGCATCATAAAGTAGATTTGCTCCTGTAAGCTTGTCTGCTTCGCTAAGGTGACGGGCATGACGTCCATCGCTAGAGTTTGCAAAGTGGACACTCTAAGCGGAGTTTAAGTAGGGTAAGTCGGCGAATGATGGGCGACTTCCTCATGATAGGGACGAGTAGCACTAAAAGGCTTATGCTAGTGGCCTTATAATCCTTAGTGCCTTATTTGCACGAGTGTCCTTTGGTGCTCAGGGCAACGTCAATCTCAGGGTAAATTCAATCTCCTATCCCTCCTATCCCGGGGATGGATTATTTCCCTTTCGCATCCTTGCTATTGCCTCTCCTAGTGGCAAGTTCGAGAAGGAAAGGGGTTGTGGAAGACTCGATCACTCTATCGTATTTCTAGGCATTTACATGGCAGTTGTCCAGCTCAAACAGCTTAGCAAGTGTTCTTAACTGCTGCAAGTTAAGTGTGTACATGAATGGATCCTCTCTTAGCACATGGGCCAATGTAGCAGCGGTGATTGCAGGTTCGAGGTCCTTTACTTCCAGCATTTCTCTCTGAAACCTCACAATGAAGCTCCTTAGTAACTACCCCGAGCCCCCAGCCCTTGCCTCATCTTCAATAGAGCTTACGAGCTCTTCAGCGGCTACTGCACACTAGCAAATTAAGTATTGAAAAATATTTTGAATTCAGCATAGGAGGTGAATCACCTAGCGCCGACTCTTTTGGTATCATCAAGAATAGGAGATACTTGGGGCCATCGTCAATCTCCAGCAAAGACGTCATTGACTCAAAGGTCGACATATGATTAATGGGGTCAATCTTACCTCTGAAAGGCACCAGGTGTGGTACTTTGAACTTGGACGGTGGCCCAGCCTCCGTGATCGCCCTAAGGCGTTGATGTGTTTGATCTCTACCCTTCTAACTCACTTAGCAGGTAGGTTCTACTCCTCATTACTCATGGTCGTACGAACTAGATCAAGGACGGGCGTCGAGGATAGTGCTTGGCAAGTCTCTCCATGTGGACACACCCTTGGATTCCGTCCAAAACCTCTTGAACTATCTTCATTATCCACTCCATCTCCATAAGGTCTTGACAAGTAGTGTAGTTGTCATTATTCATGTTTATTGATAGCTCTTGTTGAACTTACTCATCTGTTTTGGTTTTTCTTATGATCTAAGATATCAATCCATGCTCACCGCAACTAAGAAGATATATCCAAATCTATCCGTGAAAGAATCCAGACCTCACTAATAGGCAGAACTTGGGGAGCTAAAACCAATGAGAATGAAGAATAGAGGTAATAGAGAAAAATCTGTAGAATGCATAAGAGAATATGAGTCTTAAAATTGGCAGATTATCTAATATTAGTCCAAAAAGGGCCCGAAATAGTCATTAGAAAGGTTCTCCAAATTGTTCCTCATCACCCCTTATTTATAGGATTTTGCGGTCTACATGAAAAACTACACAAGAAAAATCAAAAGTGCAATGTTGCACAAAATATATGTATAATACTACACACTACCTTAGAAATGTGTTGCCCCTTACTGGCTAAAGGAGAGCAAGGTCGTAAGGCTTTAGCAAGTCATCTCTAGGTGAGCTTTATGATGTCGAGTAGATGAGAGTAAGTGCGCTCGGGCGAGTTTACAGACGAGTACAGAGATGAAAAGGGGAAGCGTGGCTAGTGATTTCGGCCATGACCGACAACTTGTGTGAAGCTCTAGGATAATTCTAAGAAGAGAAGGGAAAGTAAGATGCTATTACGGACACAGTAAGGGATAGATTAGGCTAGCATAGTAGTGGCGAGTCCAATTGGGGGGCCCATATATAAGCGTTTTCATATAGCTGAGTTTGGTAAAGTTTGTTGCCCTGGAAGAGGCGGGGGAAGCGGTTCATGTATAAGGTGAGTGCCAAACCACTAGCTCTGGAGAGGAATCTTCAATTTTCCCTCTACAAGGTGAGCTTCTGATGAGGAATGGGCGAGTAACAATTGTTGGTCATTACAAGTAAGTTCTTCTGTTAATTCCTCACGTGGGTCCCCTAAGAAAGATAATTCCTCTGTTGTGACTCGCCAGCAACCTGCTGAACAACTATAAGGGTATATATGAGTATACATAAGCATTGGTCCTCCCCCCCCCTCGGGTGATTTATAACTCGCATCAATATTAACTGTTGACTCCAATACTAGTGTCAGGTTCGAGTCGACAGCACAAGGTGAATTTCGAAATCAAAAAAGCATGAAATCGCGCATAATTCACCCGACGTGTGTCGACCCAAAACCAAAAAATCGTCGAAACGACCTCCGTTCGCGAAACGGACAGCGCCGATGTGTCCGGAGCAACGGAAACAGCTAAGATCGACACCCATATTGGTGG